TCGTGTTGTTTCAACAAAGTAAGCAGACGCTTCTGTAGACACTCCTTGAGGTAGATCTTCCCGTTTACAGTCCCGGTAGTCACGAACGGTGCACTCCGTTTGCGGCATGAGCAGATCGCTTGCCAAATCATGTATTTCTTGGCAAACTGTGAAAGTTTCTGCTTCCTAAACTTTCTCCGGAACATCAAACTTGTGCTGGGAAGTGAAGAACAGTAGCCCCGGAAGCTGCCGGAAGTCCGCCTTGACGTAAGTCTCATCATCCATTATGAGAAAATTAGGCTTCGTCAGCATCTGGGTGTACAGTTTCCGGGCGAGTGGCTTTCCCACCGTATTTGGCCGTTCGTCACGATTTGAAGCCTTCCGCACTTTGTACGCATGCAGTCCCTCCCGGTTCTTGGCTCTCTGAACGAAAGACTTGATTCTTGGCAGATTCAACTTTTTGGCCACATCCCTGACCAAAGCATTGGGATTCCGCTTAAACGCTTTCACGGCACGCTTGTGATCCTGATCACTAATAAAACATCCATTATGACCGCATTTCTCCTCCCGTTCGATGCTCAGAGTTTCGTAGTAACGTTTAATCACACGACTCACCGTTGACTGCACGATTCCGAGTTGTTTTCCGATGTCCCGATGAGAGAGTTGAGAGTTTTACGCAAAAACAATTCGCGACGTTGATTTTCGGGTGATGCCATTTTTTCCAACTTTCGAAAAACTGACAGCGATAAAAATACAGTGTAAACAATACACTCTAAACTACTTCTACCCAAATTTTCAAGAGAAAATACCCAATGGGTAATTTTCTACCCTTTACCAATGAGAGTCAGATTCCAAACAGGAATAATTTCGAAGTTGATTACCTTATCGGTTTAGTATATTAAGATGAATAATCCGAAAACAATAGATCTACCTCCATAGTACCAGAGCTGAGCCAAAAAGTTATAACCATAGAGGTAACTCTAAGATTAGAAGGTCCCGAAGAAACGTGCTCAACTTTTTGGCTCAGCCAAAAAATCCACGAACCCCTCATTCCATCTGTCAAACTTTCATAGCGAATCAAAACAAACATAGTGTAGCACTAGAATTTCGACTAGAATGGGGTGCGTTAATCGATTTGCTTGGGACTAATAGCAACAATCAATACGAAACTAACGATTTCAAATTGGCTCACCACTTTAGTAGCCTATTGGTCCCAAGCAAACGATTAACGTACCCTATTCTAGTTGAAATTCTATTACTACACTATGTTTGTTTTGATTCGCTATGAAAGTTTGACAGATAACATCAGGGGTGTGTGGATTCATGCAGAACATGCAGGGGTGAGTGAAATAGCTTGGGACTGCTTGGGACCGTTGTTCTGGTACTGAGTGAGCCAAAAATAATAATGATTTTCTTCGGGACTCAGTGGTCTTAGAGTTACCTCTATGCTAATAGGCTAGTCAAGTAGTGAGCCAATTTAAAATCGTTAGTTTTCACCGGTTGGTATAACCATAGAGGTAACTCTAAGACTAGAAGGTCCCGAAATAACGTGCTCAACTTTTTGGCTCAGCTCTGGTACTCTCTTCGGTCCCAAGCTAATCGATTCACCCCTCGAAACATAGGAAAAACCAATAACCCCTCATTTTATCTGTCAAACTTTCATAGCGAATCAAAACAAACATTGCGTAGTACTAGAATTTCGACAAGAATAGGGTACGTTAATCGTTTGCTTGGGACCAATAGGCTACTAAAGTGGTGAGCCAATTTAAAATCGTTAGTTTCGTATTGATTGTTGGTATAACGACGTGCTCTTGATATCGCTCAAACCATTTGTGGAATACTTCTATTATTTGGGTTATCGATCGTTTATGGTATTTTTTTATTAGGTTTGGACCTTACCCAAGGTAATCCTCAACCCGGAGGCAACTTGACAACTCCAGTATATTGCCAGTGTACCCCGACAATTTGGTGCTGGTGGTTCTGTCAAACTCACAAGTTTCAGAAGGGTTATCTGAATAGGGCGAATGCGGAAATGAAGTACAATAAATAAAATCCAAGCTTGAAATTTATCTCATTATCGCGCGCCCACCAAACCGGAACGCTGACGTCAAAATTAACATTAGTGACATAGGAAGTCCAGTGATGCCAGCGAGAAAAGTCGTTTTGGTTTTTCAGTTGTATGCACTATTCATAATCAGTTTATGAAACTTTTTTTTAGTCTCGTGTGTCTTTGAGCAGAATAGGACCAAAAGTTTAAATATATGATTTGTATAACGAAAATATGTGCTTGTCATAGAATTAACCTAAACAAATGAGAATTGAGCGAGGATACTATCGGTGATTTCGACGCTTCCCGTATGGATTGCGCAGAGGGATTCCAATCAGTAATTGTAACAACATGCTCCGGCATTTGCTTCAGCTCATTCTCTCGCATTTGTTGCAGCCAATGCTGATTAATACCATCGTTGCAATTGTTAAGAAAGTTGTGAAGAACGCAGCAGCAGGGAAACTTTATCGATCCTGTTATCTAAACCTTTCCCGATTCTTCGAAATCGGGCTTTTAAATGCCCGAAAGCGTTCTCAACAACTCTCCTAGCCTTTGATAGGGCATAATTGTATCCCTTTTCTCTCTCAGTAGCATCTGCGCGGAATGGATATGGTTTCATTACGACATCAGACAGACGAAAAGCCGAATCGCCTATCAGCAGCACTGGTACATCAATTCCACAGAAGTTTTTCGAATGCTGTTTAAGAAGTGAATTTTGAAGTTCTCTTCTCAGGTTTGAGCTCTCGAATATCTTCGAGTCGTTACATCGCCCAGGACTTCCAACATTTATGTACTGGAAGCGATACCTACAATGAACATCATAATTACACACATTAAAAACGACCTTAAAAATTGCGGTACTCACCTGTAGTCTACACTAGCAAAAAGCACCGTCGAATACCACCCTTTGTAATTGTGATAATCTATTGCATCATCGTTATTTGGTCTTACTTCAATGTGACATCCATCTAAAAGGATCAAAGCAAATAATTTGTATATATTTCTTTTTGGATCGAGTTGGAGGTTGACGGAGGTATTAAGTTAGATTTTGAGACATTGGAAAAAATCAAGAAATAAATTAAATTTGCCGCACCGATGGATATGTACAGTACATGTACTACAGCAAGGCATCTACTGATGTGAAGGTGAAGTGAAAAGATAGGTTTATCAAGAAAAATATACCAATATTTCTTTGAAAATAGTATGTATAGAGCAATCGGTTCAGTGTTAACAAAATGTGCATACATCTATCAATCTTACCTATGGCACCATAACACTGAGGAAAACCTATTCTTTCAAATCCTTTTACGCATTCCTCAATACGCTCTTTCGTGAGTGGAAATGAATCCATCTGCTCAACCCGCATGACCCGCCACACTTCGTTGCAAAATTCTTGTACGACTTCACAGGTCGTGGACTTCCCCACTCCAAATAAGTTCGATATCGTTCGGTATTCCGCTGAAGATCCCAGCGCGTATACAGCAATAGCCACTCTCTTTTTCAGCGGAATGCATTTTCGAAGCACTGTATCCTTCTTTCCAAACAGCGCAATTTGGAGCAAAGAATTTCGAAACAGTTTTTGGACATCCTGAAATTTTCTTTAAAAAATAAAATAAAATATCCATATTATAAAGCTATATTACGTAATATAGAGCCTAGTCTGAACGTACTATAATACTGTTATCGTTGATGATAAACAAAACAATAATAGTTTTGCAGCGAGTAAGAGCGTACTTATTACAGTATCCCTCCGCTAATCCGACATATTTGACAATCGGACTGTCAAGTCCATAAAAAATCAAAGTTACCAATGTAAACAAATGCTCCATAAGAGACAGTGATGTCGAATGAAGGAGAGCCGGAGTATTGAGATACTGTATACGCAGCTAGTACTGCAAAATGTACTATTTGAGGTACTAGCTTAAAAGAGTACAGAGGTGAACATTGTGCGTCTTTCGAAGGCCTTAAATGCATTAAGCTAAATATGTAATATATCATGTAATTTGACTAATGTTCAAGTTCAGCAGTTTACTTTTCTTTCCCCATAAGAGAAACACGGGATAGCAAACATCTTTTTTTATTTTACGGGTCCAGGACAAGCCTTCATTGCACAACTATGCTCAAAGCAATAATCTTAAAGATAATCAAATTCAAGAGCAACAAATAACTGAAGAAATTTTTATTGCCATTTGATGATACAAGAAGATGAAACTCGGTTCAACTTGTATGGATTTATTTCATTTCACCACGAAAATTATAAATAAGCTCTTTTCATATGGCATTCTTGTCTGTTGTTTGACATCCACATATGGTGAAACAAAAAGTTGGTTTTCCATAGAGAAATACCGTTGCGGCGGTGAAGAACAATTCCTTTGTTTACATCGTGTGGCGACATCTACTATTCGCAAGTGGGTACGTGAAACTAAGGTTACCTGTCACCTTGCCGGGGACTTGGTTGCCACAGTCAGCTCAGTAAAATCCCATGTGCCACGATAGATCCACCAGATCGACCGTGCTGTATGACTTCTGACTGTTATGTTGTTTATTCGCTTTCCATTCCATCGCTTTCACAATCTGAATAATAATTGCGCATTAATCATGTCCTGCCCAGTCATATATGTATTCTCATTAGAACGAGCAACAATTAAGGTGTCATCTCTCGCACGTGAACGGCCGTACGACGGCCGTATATTGTTGAACTTGACAAAATTCCTTGCTAATTTTATTATTTACTCGTGCCACTTACAGTGAGCTCATAGTAGATGCGCACATGGGAAGTGATTTACTCGTGGAGGGGTTGTAACCTTCATAATCAACTCTGAATGGATCGTCGCCTCTAGGCACCTATTTAGTTCATAGCGTGACGCGAGAAGAAGGGAATTTCCGAAGGGAATTCAGGTCACGCTTATTAACCTTCGATTGCTCACATTTATACCAGGAACTAACCAACAATTTACACCCATTTAAATTCCAGGAAAAACTTCTCACACCTACTTCAAGAACGTTCAAACTATGGCGACGACCTCCGGTTCCGATTCAGTGGTCGATCACCCTCTTCAACTGGACCAACGCCAAAGCCTACCTGGCGAACGAGGCTACCCGGCCGTCCTTCACCGAGATCGGTCCGTTTCTGTACTCAGGTCTGCTGTACTCTTCCCCATGTTCAACCTCAATGCTCTAACCCATCAAATCTCCGTTCCACAGAAAACCTGGAGAAGGTAGACGCCCGGTTCAACACGAAAAACGCCACCATCAGCTACCGGAGACGTAGCTACTTCACCCCAGACGAACTGCTCGATGACAACCTCCTCGATCAGAGCGTCACCAACGTCAACGTGGTTGCGTTGGCCGCTGCTAACCGTGGTTACAGCCGTGGCAACGCATACGAACGGACGATTTCCTTCGCCCTGTACAGCTTTAAGCAGCGCGTTGTGGTCACCAAGCGAGCTTCCGAGCTGCTGTTCGACGGCTACCCGGAACCGTTTATCAAAAAGGCCAAGGAAGTGTTCCAGTCCAGCTCGGATGGGGAGTTGGAAGATCGGTTCAGCTGGTTCCGATCGATCAATGGTTCGAAAAAGTTCCACGGCTATTTCAACATGGACTCCGGCAAGGAGGACTCCAGTCGGTACGGGTTGGTCCACACGTGGAACTACCGGGATCGGGTGAATTCCAGCCGAGGCGAATGTGGAAAGTACGATGGCTTTACGGAGGAACTGTTTCCGACGAAGATCCGGAAGGATCACCGATTGCGGTTGTTCTTGATGGAGCTGTGTCGGGTCGTGAGTTTTGGGTTTGAACGAGAAGAAGTGATCCACGGAGTGATGGGATACCGATTTGTGGGCGAGGCGCGATCCGTGGACGATCAGTGTAGCGATGATAAGGAGCATCTACCGAGTGGAGTGATCAACATAACGGAATGCAAACTGGGGGCACCGCACTATGCTTCGTTTCCGCACTTCTTCCTTGCGGATGGTTATTACAGGGGCGGTATTGACGGTATGAACAAGGACGAGGAGCGGCACCAATCGTTCTTTACGATCGAACCGAAAACGGGGACGGTGCTTAAGTCATCGCTCCGGTTGCAGATCAACGCACTGCTGCAGCAGTACTCGGGTGTGGCGTGAGTTTTCACCGTTTCTGAGCTTAGTAAAGTTTTGGATTTTTATGGAAAACCTTTCGTTTCAGTTTGTACCAGGATGCACCACAATCATACCTACCGATACTTTGGTTCGCGAGAAGCTTCCATCTTCCCGAAGAAGAAGTACTCAAGCTGAAGGGCCTGCTGGATGTTTCGCAACTGGGTTACGTTGGAGCATTTGCCGTTGCCGGGCTAGGGCTGTTGATTGTGCTTCTGGCCATTGGGCTGCGATGCGCTGTTCGAAGTACGCAAAGGAAGAGCATGGCGGGGGCTGCCCTGGCCAACGGAGATGCCCGCGGGGATTACGAATTTGTACAAAATGAACAGAATAAGGATAAGGATCGAATAAAGCTGTGATTTTTGGTAGGAGTTCATGGTGTGAGTAGTATTGGCCGAAATTCAACAATGAGGGTATTTTCGGAATCGGGATCACGTCTAGAGAATGTAAATCGATATTCGACGCCATTTTTGAATCCACATGGCTTCCGATTTCAGAAACAGTGGAAAATATAATATGGGTATTTTTGGAATCAGAGTGGCAGGAGATTGGAAATAGGTATGCTACGCCATTTTGAAATCCAAGATGGTGGCTTCCAGTTTAAGAAAAAGTGGGAAATACTGTCAAATACCCATCAACATGGGAATTTTAGGAATCGGGATGACGTCTCGTAGATATGACGATTCGTAAATATTATTAGCGTCGCGAATCTCCCTCTGGCATCGGGCCACTTTGACCTTTCTGTAGGCTCTTTTGATGCACCATCAATGTAGAGTGCGCTAGGCAATTTTGAGAGGAAATGTCATCCCAACATTTTGTTTACATCATAATGACGATTTTTAAAACCTTAAATAATTAATATTCTATTGCACAATTTGTAAATTACCATCGAGAGTGGTATTATTTTAAGGTTATCTACAAATCTGAACTGATTTACAGCTAAAAAAAACCAGACATTAAAAATCCGGAAGCTGGGACAGTTTAATTTAAATTCTAGAGTAACATTTGAAATGGGCCTATGTCCAAAACGTAAACAAACCAGAAAATGAATTTTAATTTTTTTTTTCGCCGCTATTCAATTTATATTTAAGAAAATTGAAGTATTTTAGGCATTTATATTGTTCACAATAACAATAGTAACTGTACCTCAGTATACAACATCCAAAATATGCGAAATGCTTTCAAAAGTATATGAAAATCGATTACAATTTAATTTCATAAATCAATAAGCCTTTTTGTGAATCTTTCAATCGATAGGCGCTTTTTGTTAAGCCGTTGTGCTTGTCATCAGAAATGGTACGCCCTTTGCTAAGCCTTTTCGCAACGTCAAATAAATTCAAAACAAATCATCGGCCCTACCTCAAGCAGTAGGGCCTAGCTTTGGGTTGAAAATTTTCAACCATCGGCCCTTCAACGTCACTAGGCTTATCAATGAAATGATGTGCGGACCAATTAATGGATCGAAAAATTTCGTCGATCGGCCGTTTCGAAAATCAAGTTATTTATAATATTTTCTCTCGATTATGCGGAACTTTCCTAAACGATTAGTAGCTATCAAGCGGTGCTAAACAATGGCATCAAAACCCGCTTTGTTTACGTTTTGGACATAGGCCCATTTCAAATGTTTCTCGAGAAATCTTCCTTTTTCTCAAAATAAACATGTGAAAGAACATATGCTTATGATCACTGCTAAATTGATATAGAAAGCAACATATTCCACGTGGATGACAATTTCAAGCACTTGCTATGGAGGAAAAGTGAAAATATCATCCTCTTCCTATGCTCCACGAATCGCCCATACACCTCTTTAATAGAAACTACGCAATCAATTCAACCTCTGGTGGTGAATTGGAGAACGTCATAAAGAGTGTTGTAAGCAGAAATTTCTGCCATGAGATATAGGAAGCGGAACAGTTTTTCACTTTTCCAGATAAATTGATTCATCAGAGATGCTCCAAGACTTGATCTACAGTTGAAAAATCGAATTCTGTATCGTTTTTGCAAGGATCCTGCTGGTGTTCAGGAATATTTTTGTTGAGGAAAATGGAAAATTAGAATGGTGTCTTAGTGGTTATGACCTTCCGGATTTCTTGTGAGTAAATAGTTTAGGTGTAAATTGTTGAAGAACTCGTCACCAGGCTACACAGTGGATAATTCCGTCGGAGCGGAACGAGCCGTTTAACAACCGGTGGACACTAACGATTTTAAATTGGCTCACTACTTGACTAGCCTATTGGTCCCAAGCAAACGATTAACGTATCCCATTCTAGTCAAAATTATAGTACTATACAATGTTTGTTTTGATTCGCTATGAAAGTTTGACAGATAAAATTAGGGGTTAGTTGATTTTCCTATGTTTCGAGGGGTGAATCGATTAGCTTGGGACCGAAGATAGTACCAGAGCTGAGCCAAAAAGTTGAGCTCGTTTCTTTGTTATTGGCTAAGACGTTAAAACGTGTTAAGTTCGATGCGAATGGGCGGAAGATGGTGTTCGTAAACTATTGTGAGTATCGAAAGGCCTATCGATTCCTGGATCCGAAAGATGTCAGCGTTACTATCAACCGTGATGTCAGCTACATCGAGCAGAAGAACGGATCGTCGTCGAGCGAGCAAAGTGGTTTCAGTGGATCAAGCGTAGCATAATTGGACTGGCCAGGACTGACGAATATGGAGAGCAAGCTTCAGGAGGAGCAGGACAAGGATCGGCGTTCTTTTCAGGAAGAGCAGGAAGAATCCGATGAAGAACTTCACAGCTGCGGCACTCCACTGACGTGATTGCAAAAGTTGTCCATCGGTAACGACCAAAGGTTGAACTTATCGATGAAATCGATACCGAGTAGGTTCAGTTGACGATTTGAGACGAAAATCTGGCCCTAATGAGCCGAACCGCTGAACGATACTTCACAGGCAAACTCGTACTGCAGGTCAAGCTGTTCGCCAGATGCTGATTTGGCGATTTGCGTTGACAGAACCACTGCTGGTTGCCCTATTGGCTTCCATACTTCCTTGGACACAATCCGACGCAGTATCCAATTGTAGACGCACTGGAACACCGTTGATTTCCACCTGCACAAACCGTCGCTTGCTCTGGAAGTTGCCAACTGAAAGAGCGATGGTTTTAGTGGAAAACTTACCGCTGCGTTGTTTGACAGGTTTGGAAGAACGTTTCGCACTTGAGCAGTGGTGGTTCTTAAAACTGCAGTACTTTGAGAAATGCATCGCACCGCAGTTCCAGCACGGTGTTGCTGGACCGTTCTTCGCCTCTTCCGGCATTTTCGAAACTTTCCGCTGCTCCATCGACCGCTTTCGGAATTTATTCTGATGCTGTGGACCTCTTCGGATTGCTTGCACCTGTCCAGATGGACCTTCGATCATCGCTGCGTCGCTCTGCAAATTGATTAACCGCTGACATTCCTCTATCAACGCCTCCAGGGTGACGTCAATGCTGTCCTCTATCTTCGTCAGCAACCTGGTGCGTACTTCGGTGTCGCACTCGCCCTTCAAGCCGCACACGTACATTAAACTTTTGAATTGTTGTTCGGACATCTTCGGCAACTCAAATTCCACGCACATTTTGTTCACCCGACACGTAAAAGTGACATAATCTTCAGTCGGGGCTTTGGTGATGGTGAGTGTACTGTAGCGTTTTTTTTACCATTGATTCCGTGGTCTCGAACAGCGATTTAAGCTTCTGGATCGTGGTGGCGAACGTGAAATCCTTCGGGGTACTAGGCAGGATATAACTCACATACCTGTAATGCTCGTTTGTCCCCAGCCGACGAAGAAGAGTCTATGCGCATCCTTGGCGAAAAGATCATCATATCGCGCGTACCAAGCAGCAAAAGTGCAGTGGCTCTCAGGATCAAACTGGAACTCTTCGATATTGCCAGCTAATTAATCCAGAATAGCCTCCGGATTTGGTGGAACACTGAATTACTCGCGTTCTCGTCGCCACTGTCATAACGTGACAAGGCGGTGATATCGTAATTAATTAAACTACTATACGTTACGATCTAATAAAACTATTCGTCTATTTCACGATACTTTAAAGGAGATATTCTTCTTCAATCTAACGAGACAATGAATGACAGACTGGTACTCTACAATGACACACAAGTGACGTTCATCCAGGTGACAGCCGACGCTGCCAACGGTGAGCCCTGTGGTAATTCCTGGTTAGGGTTTCCAGTGTCCCCAACAGCTAGTATTTTTGTTTTGATTTTCTATGTGGTACACTGAAAAATTGCAATAGCAAGTTCGTCACCAAAGTTTTCGAACCGCTCCGAAGGCAAAGGCAAGTTCAAGCCGAAGGCAAGTTCATCTCTTCCCGCGTTCCAACGAATGAGTTACCGGTATGATTCTCTCCCGACTCCGATACTGCTCCTTAATCAAACAGTTCGATCGCACGATTCGGCTGCATCCGTATAAACCGATCTCGTCACTCGCAGACAGTAACAATATATTTTTATTTTGAACATTGGTTCCACGTTACACTCAGCTTTCGCTCGTTGGGCTAATCCAATAGCTCACTTATAGCGAATTTGTTTATTATCGGGGTTGGAACCAGTTCCAACCCAGTGCGAAACCGAACTTTTTGTCAGTGCGAACCTCAACCTGAGTTAGGTTTTAAAAACAAACGATCAAACTGACGTTTGTCAGAAAACAAGCAGACCCGATCTTGATACCCGATTCAGGTTGGAACTGAATAATAAACAAATTCGCTATTAGTGAACGGTTTTCGTTAGTTGGGCTCAGCTGTCAAAGCTGAAAATTGCTTGCGGATACATCGATTTTCTATTATCATCAACATCGTTTAGCAACTATCCAAATTGTTCATCCATGAGCCCCTCGAAAATAAATCTGCAATGTCAGAAATGACGTTGGACTTCGATTTGGATGGACTACAGCCCAACTAACGGGAGTCCAACTAAAACGTAGCCCACTTAAAGATAGCCCAACGAGTGATATTCGACTGTACCAAAGATGAATACTAAGATGAAACTGTCGGGAGAAAAACTTTCTATTTTAGTGTCCTCTTTCACGGTCCCTTTCATCCAATAAGAACCCCCCGTATTCAAGGTAATTTTGTGGTTTTGCTGCCCCCTCGGTAGAGATGAAATTTTGCGCTCATTTTGATCAAAACAATCACACCAAAATCAGAGATGTCCCATTTAATGAAATTAGTGTTCACCGGTTGACTGTACTTCTAAAATGGAATACGTTTGAAATTAACCTAGTTTATGTTTTGCCCAGAACAAACTGAGTTTACGTTTACATTTACCCTCCAATTTACCTCAAAATTGGTTCTCGCCCGACTCCGATACTGCTTCTCAATTCTCGCGTCACTTTTCAAAAGGTCCTAAGTAACAAATGTAAACAAATCGAGTTAAGCGATACAAACTATTGCTCTTCTATCATCTATGTGATACAAAAACATCCATCCAAATTTACTTTCATTTATTTAAGATAATCATTGATCACAAATTGTCCAATGTACAGTTTGAAATGATGGGTACATGATTGTTACTTCGGTCATTCGGACTGCCTAACATGATTGGTGCTCATTTTCCAAAGGCGGGGCCAATCTAAAGTTAGGTACTATACTCTGAAATCTGTGAAAGGGAATCTAGTATCATGTAGACAATACGTCCAATGTAACACTCATTGATTATGTCATTGAGAAAAATCGTCCAATGTAACATGTCCGATGTACAACTCGACTTGTCAAAACGTCCTGTTGGTTTTCCAACGAAGAGAAAGTAGACTCCGAACGTTTAACGATTTATTGAGGATACGTTTAAATTTCCTGGAATGATTTATGCCGTTGAAATTACAGTCCTTAGCTTCTAGTAGTATAATATCTTACGTTTTGTAATTCTCCGTCGTTGTAACCCGGTAACGAAACTGTTTTATAAGAAACTGGCCAACTCCTGAACCGAGTCCTGAACGGGGTGATAGTTCGAGTTAGCTGTATATAATTATGTTCATGACTCACAATTTACCGTATTAGAAACAACGAAATTAGGTTTCAATTTAGAGGCTCGATCGTTTACCCAATCAACTTAACCTACAACTTTCTAGAAAGGAAAATGAGTTCAGTTTTACTTCAACGCTTCGCAAATTATTGTTGCTTTTACTCACGCAACTACAAATAGCAACTTAGATTTAAGCACAGATAATATAGATAACAATTCCATTAATTTTAAACTAAATCCAAAGAATAATTTTAGGTAATCGCGACATCGTGTCACATGGTTTTACTTGTTCTTAAATGACAATTATTTTCCCGTACCGTCCCTATCGGCATTCCAACAACTGTCAGCCGAGCCAAGGCAAGTAAAGGTTGGAGTTTCTTTAGCTGGTGAGAAGGTGCGTTGCTACACGAGGGGTGTCGCAACAGTCCCCCCCAGTGGTTGGACCCTGGTCCCGATCACTCTTGTCTGCACCGACGTCCAGCACTGCCAGGCGAACTGCCGGGCGCTCGTACATACCTGAAGCCGTCCGTACCGTCGCCGATCGTACTTGACCATCCTTGGATACCTTCGTGTTGACTACCCTGCCTTTGGGCCAGCAATTTCTCGGGAAACTTGGGTCCACGATAATCACGATGTCTCCTATCTGGATCTGTCGACCGGCCGAAAGCCATTTAGTTGTTCTAGTAATTTCAGGGAGGTACTCCGCCAACCACTTCTTCCAAAACATATTGGCTAGGACTTGTGATGATTTCCAAGCACTTCGGAGAGCTAAGCCGCTATCATCGTGGAGTACTTAGGGGTTTCGAACCATCGGTAGAGCCCAGCAGAAAGCTATTCGGGGTAAGAGCCGGGGCAGCCTCGCTGTCAACTGGTACATAGGTCAGAGGGCGCGAGTTGATGATGTTCTCAATCATCACAAGAGAGTTCCTGAGTACTTCGTCTGTTGGCAGCCGTTGAGTTGGAAGTATGCTGGTCAAAATCTTCTTTACTGATTGTATCAGTCTCTCCCAGCTTCCTCCCATATGAGGAGAAGCAGGTGGGTTAAACGACCATTTGAGGTTCTCGGTCGTAAACTCTTTCATCAGCCGCTCTTGATCTACCTGAGCTAAAGCTTCCTTCAGCTCTTTACTCGCACCGACCAGGTTGGTTCCTCGATCACTAACAATCTCGATTGGAGATCCCCGTCGCGCTATGATGTTTTGCAGGCACATTATACAGGAGTCCGTCTTCAACGAATGAGCCAGCTCGATATGCACAGTGGTCAGACACGTAGCTAGCACGCCCCAGCGCTTCTCAACACGGCGACCGATTACTACCTGCATCGGGCCGAAATAGTCAATGCCCACGTAAGAGAAAGGCCTAACAAATGCCGCGAGTCGAGTTTTCGGTAAATCGGCCATTGAAGGAGGCTGTGGTTTAGCAGTCATGATTTTACATTTCTGGCAGTTTCGACGAGTTTTGTTGAGAACTACCCGCAAACGAGGAATGTAATATCTTCGCCGTATTTTGTTCAGCACGGTCTGGTGACATTGGTGATGGAATTCCTCATGAACTTTTTGAACGACCAGTGATGATGTGCTCTCGAGGAAGGATGACAGGATGCTTCGTAGACTCATCAATTAAATCGCAAGCGCTAATGCGACCACGCATACGCATCACCCCAGCACTATCGAAATATGGTTCCACTTTATACAGAGAGTTACCTTTAGGTAGAATCCGCGTACCAAGAGCCGGTCCAGGTTTCGCAAGCAGCTTCCGTTCCTCACTGTAGATGTCCTCTTGAGCTCGGTGATAGATATAACTGGCAGCGTCGTTCAATTCATCAGCACTCAATGGACCAGTATCAGGTTGTTCGGCAGCTATCTTTTTCCGGAGATTCCTGGGAAACCGCATTACGAACGCCACAGCATGAAGCAAACGTTTCCAACATGAAAAGTCTGTTGGAGTAAGAACCCAATCATCAACGTCACGGTGGTGTAGCAAGTTTTGACGGTTTTGACGGAGCTCCTCTTTGGTGGATTCTAAAGCTGGGAGCTTCGACCAGTTTTCTTCCGGTTGCAGCAAAACTTCAGGGCCGTTGAACCACCGACTATCATAATCAAGGCTTGGTGCACGCTTTCACTTCGTGGCTTTGTCGGCAACGTTCAATTTCGTAGGCACCCATCGCCATTCAGCAACATCCGTGGTCTCCAACAGCTCACTTACACGGAAAGCGACGAACTGGCTATATCGTCGATGGTCGGAATTCAGCCAGCATAAGACGTCACGAGCGTCAGTCCAGAAGAATCGCTTGGTGATGTTGTACGAGTGGCCTTGTTCTACGGCTTTTGCCAATCGGGCGCCGATGACCCCTGCCTGCAGTTCTAAGCGGGGTATGGATACAAACTTGAGCGGTGCGACACGACTTTTGGCTCCGATCAATGAGCATTCGATTTGATCATCCTCTTCAAACCGGAAATAACACACAGCAGCGTAACCGTTCTCGCTTGCGTCCACGAATATTTGGAGTTGAACGGAGGAATGTACCGACGTCTTCTGGCGGTAGCAGCGAGGAATCCGCAAATTTTCAAGCTTCGGTAGAAACTGCAACCAGATCTTCCACTTCTCCCATTCACGTTCCGCAATACACTCGTCCCAGCTTACTCCAGACCGCCAAACTTCTTGCAAGAGCATCTTCAAAAACATCAAATAGTTTGCGATGAGCCCAAGTGGGTCGTAGACGCTCATCATCGTTCGCAGTAGCTCCCGCTTAGTTGGGCGTCTCGTTCCAGAGAGAATGTCCATGTTACGTTCCAGGAACAGCTTGTATGAGAAGACATCCGAGTTCGTCGACCACCACATGCCAAGAACCTTCTCGTTGGCGACGTCTACCGCCGTGTCTAAGTTCTTTTCAGCAACTTCTACTGCACCAAGGGCCGTGAGAACGTCACGCGAATTAGAAACCCAGTTAGTCATTTCAAACCCAGCGCGAGAGTGGATCTCTCTAACTTCCTTCGCTACACGGACAGAAAATTGTTTGCATTGAACCAAAAAAAAACTTTATTTGTATTTACACAAACAATTCCGGTTGAAATTATATTGCATTTTATTGTTTCGATAATATTTATTCAAATAAATTCAAAATAAGATTCTTTTTGTTTTGATATGCCACTCTTCAACTGCAACTATTGTAAAAATAACAATATTCTTTTATCAAGCCAACAATAGTTAATTTTAATTTAACATTTATTTGTTGTGTCAATTCCCCGGGCCATGAATGCAAAAATAACTACCAACCATTCCCTCGTAAAAACCCGGACAAAAATGTAAACAATAACAAAAAAATTCTCGTTTGATTCAGCTCTAGAGGTAAGTAAGTATGCTGCTGTTGCAAAATATAAACAGTTTTTCTTTTTTTCCTTGATTTTTTCCGTCGATCTTATTTTCAGTACTGAGTACCAACGCCAGGAAGGCCGCTCCCACACCTGGACCCTACCTATCGACCCATTAACTCATGAACCGGAGAGATTTTATGCATCAGAAAGTTTTTTTTTTTTTTTAATTTAATTGTAATTCTGTGGGTAACAAACAGAAAACAAAACATAAAAATAATCGCAAATTATTAAAAATTGAATCAATAAACATATTTTTATTTCTACTGCGTATATTTTTAGGCTTAATAAAATAAATATGATTGAATCAACAAGAAATCTCTTTTAAAAACAAACATATTTTTTGTTGACCCAGATGCCAAATTTGACAGCTTACGTCAAAACCATAAAAGCTCTTGTAAATTCAAAAAGATTTTCTTTTTGATTTAACAATCCATGGGTTTTTAAAAACAAAGATACTGGATTGTTGAAATAATAATGATTTCATTTTGCAGCCAAAACAAAATGAAATTCTTATTAAATTTACGTCAAATATTATTACGTTTAAAATATTTTTTCTGCGTGTAGCTCGATTGCTTCCTCCACGTTCTGGACGCTCGTGTACATGTCGTCAACGTAATGCGATTTTACGATTGCATCCACCGCAGTCGGAAACTGACGCCGGAAGCGCTCCACGTTTTCGTTTTTAACGAATTGGGCTAGGCTGGGTGAGCACGTCGCCCCGAAGGACATAACCATCAAGACGTATACGTCGGGGTTGTTTTGATCCTTACCGCTGCTCCACAGGAATCGATGACATTGTTGGTCTGCCTCATTCATCAGCACCTGGTGGAACATCTCACGTACGTCTCCTTCCATGGCCACCAGGTACTGTCGGAACTTGTAGAGTACCGCTGGGAGCTCCGTGAGCTGGTCTGGACCCTTCATTAATACGGAGTTTAGGGAGATGCCGTTTACAGTAGCGGCAGCGTCCCAAACGATTCTCAGTTTGCCAGGCTTATTGGGGTTGAACACCGGAAATATTGGCAGATACCAAATCCGATCGTACGATTGCGTCAGTTCTTCGGGTGTCAACTTTCATGCGTATCCTTTGCGCAAATAATCCTCCATTTTTGCTCTAAGTGCTGCGCCAAGCTGGGGTTCTCTGGCCATCCTGCGTTCTAAACACTGCCATCTTTTAATCGCCATCGTCTTGTTGTCGGGTAGCCTTACGTCGTCATATTTCCAGAGAAGCCCTGTTTGGTAGCGCCCATTCCGTGGAGTGGTAATGGAACGCATCATGGACCAGGCGCGCTCATCCTCACTGGAAACGATCAGTTTGTCCGGCTTTGTAATTCCAATGCTATCAAGAGCGAAGAAACTTTTCACAGCTCTATGTAGATCGTCATCAGCCTGACCGGAGTTCGGGCAGATGTGGTAACTGTGGTGGGTGGTATAGCCTTCTTGGTGTTGATCGCCAGCATGTACGCCATATACCATCCACCCTAAGCGAGTTTTCGATGCGACAGGCTCGAACTCTTTTCCTTCACGGCTGTCAAGAACGTGACCTACACGCCAGTTGTTAATTCCAATCAGGATCCTTGGGCGCACGTTGGTGTAGGAATCGACCGGTAAGCCCTTGAGATATGTGTATGTGCCAGCTAACTTGTCGAACGCCAAAGTTTGAGGAGGAAGCTTGAGTTGCTTGACGGTGTGTACCTCCGGAAGTTGATAACGTGTCCCTTGATTGCGAGAACCGGAAATTAGCAATTACACCTTTTGCGACGAATCCTCGTAGCGGCACGTATCTGCTGTCCATTGTAAGCATAGTGGGTGATCGACGCCGTCGAGCTACAATTCGGTCGCCAAATCTTCCTCAAGCAACGTCAACGACGAACCGTCGTCTAAAAAGGCATAGGTTTCGATTTTAGTCCCACGTCCGTACAGCACAACGGGTACGTATCGGAACAGGACTGCCTTGCCGTCGCTACGATGGGTATTGCAGATGGTTTGCGTAGTTGTTACAGCCGATGACGTACCTGGCTTTGGTGTAGCAGGCATTGGCTCAGAATCTCGCTGTTGTGACGTTTGCGGTTTTTGCGGCGAATTATTGTGTAGCAGCTGATTGTGCTTGCTTGTACACCCGTTGATTCCGCATTCATTCGTTGACCTGCAGAACCCTCGATGTTTCTTGAGGCAACGCCGGCATAGTTTGCGTTCTCTGACAGTCGTCCATCGCGTAGAGTGATCATAACTCAGGAACTTCTTGCAGTGCTCGGCCGAAGCACACTTCCCATCGCAGACGAAACATCCTTCACGTTTATCGTCGCCAATCGGCTTTCGCTCCGGATACGATGACGTTTCGTGGTGTGCGTTCAGAAAACTGTCATCCTTTCAACCACGCCTTGGCTTTGATTCAGCAGTTGCGATCGGTGGGGGAATCGTTACGAGGCTAGCCGCCTCTGCCAGACTGTTGAGTTGCAATTACATTGGTCTATTTGAAAAGTGACGCGAAAATTGGCGTCTTGCAGTGAAACTTTTCCAAGCTTCCGCCTCCTACATTTCGAAGTGAGAACTACTAGAAGGAGGATAGTTTCCAAATTTTCAAAGTAAAACAGACGATTTTTGGGGCAAATCGGTCCATAAAGAAAAACTAATAATTTCCCGTGGAAACTTTTGCTTGAATCGTGTAAGAAAATGTGTTTGAAAACTAATTGTTATTGTTTCGGTATGGATCGGAGATGTTTTCATGGAAAATAATGCATAACAAGTTTGCACCCACAGCGAGAGGTTACCTCCTGCGCAGCTGCATTTTTCGGAAAATTGTGATTATGTGCGATTTCCACTAAGATGAAAGTGGAAATTAAGTGAATTTACTTAGGAAAGGTTGTATCATGCTGGTGGTAATGGAGAATTGGTTGTATAGGACGCCAATATTCAATAAATGTTCATTTTGGCCTTTTCTAAGCAAACATATTGATACTCACAATTTTCGACGGAACTTGCTTTACTCAACACGCACCATACTATAAAATGGGTCCGGATGGCTTTGAAAGTGATTAACATGACAAATCATCTTTATTTTGAGTAATTGAGCAATTTACTTCTGTTTACATCATATTTACGATGCAGCATTGATGGAGCCGCGAAATGAAATGAATATATCTGGCATAACATTTGATAACGGCACAAAAGCATTTGTAAACAAACTTTCTAAGGCCCTTTACACGCGAACCAAAGTACGCCCTCACAAACCAATACCACTTTCGGAAAGGTGATAGTTGCCCCTATCCGATGATGTTGTTGGTTTGAGTGGACGTACTTTGGTTCGCGTGTAAAGGGGCTTAGAAAGTTTGTTTACAAATGCTTTTGTGCCGTTATCAAATGTTATGCCTGATATCTAATGAAAGTTCAACTGGAAAAGTCAAAGATGCACATCAGTCTGATCGTAAAAACCTTTTCTTCTTCAATTCGAATGTTATATTGGAAGGATTTTACGCAAACTGGATGAAAATTATGATTCAACGCTAATTTTCACGAATTTTATATGCAGTCTGTCAACATTATCATCATCATGCAGTGGCGACATCTACGTCGAGCGTTTACGGCAATCTTCCAATGAAACAGTTCGATCATAGATGTAACTCTAAAGGCCGGCGCACAATAGATACGTTTTCAGGTTTTTTGACAGTTAGCCCATGCATTATCTGTGAAAAAAAAACCCGAAAACGTATGCATTGTGCACCGGCCTTAAGACCAGAAAGTCCCGAAGAAATCAAGACCAACAATTGAAATGGCCTTAACTCCATTTTGTAAACAAACGTTGTAAGGCCATTTTCTCGCGAACCGAAGTCCGCAAAGGCAAACCAACATAATTAACAGGTAGGGGAAATTCTTCTCTACCCGATTGTGGTTTAGGTTTACGAATTAAGGTTTTGGTTCGCGAGAAAATGGCCTTACAAGGTTTGTTTACAAAATGGTCTTCAAGGAACGATTTTGGTTCAGTGTTCGAAATTCTCAAAGGCAGCTTTCAGTGACAATTGTAAATTGCGGTTGTCATTTTTTTCTCTGAACTGTTAATATCAACAACCGGTGTGAAAGCGTATGACAAAAAAATAGCAACGCCTTGCATTATCATAATAGACACCCATATAGCAACACACATTTTAAACGGTATTAAATTTTCCCAAAGTTCTACCTCTCAATGTCTGTGTCCGCCGGCGCCCATGTGTATGCAATAAATCCATCTCCCTCGTCCAATTGGAAAATTTTATACCAAAATTATACCACTCACTGACAGCGCCGTCACTGGCACCTGTCACGGCTCTCACGCACACACCGACCATCGCAATTCATTCTCCCCGTCTCGCTCCGTTCGGCTGCTTATCACCAACGGGAGCGAACGAGCCGGCAACAACTGTCAGATCGCTCCAGCTCCAGGCCGCCGCCGCCGTCCGTCCCTGTCCGACCCATGGTCGCTTCGACACACAGCTAGAACCAACGGGAAAAAGCGAAAATCGATGATTTTGCTCGCGTCGATTCACTGCTACGGACTACACAATCGGAGGTGTCTTTTCGGTGTCCGTTTTTCTAATCGGGATTTTCGCGAAGAAAAAGCCACCAATTTCAAATTGGTTTTGTGTTTCGGGCTGATTGTGCGGAAAGTAGTGCAAGTGCGTATTGTTGGTTGATGTTCAATTTGCCGTGGGGTCGTGGGAGTTGAAGAAGGAAAAAATAAAGCTGGGCAAACAATCCAGCAGCAGTCGCTGCGGCTCCCCAGAGGTGCGGATTGCTGAAAGAAGCTGAGATTTCCGAAGAAGAGGAGCCCCACGAGTCAGTCGATCGTGTGCGTGTGTGTGTGTGTGTGAGCATGTGAAAAAATGTGAATCATTTTCTTGTGGTGCCGAAGAGAAGAGTTTTTCCAGCAGTTTTCCTGAAGAAATTCCGCCGCGAAGGGTTTCCTTCCGTAATGGGAAAGGAGGTAGTTGTTCTGGCAAGTGAAAAGTGCTAGGGCGCTCCGTACCCGATTCCCGGAGCTGCGCCCTCCCCCCAGAGTGGTTCCCCGGGGAGGAAGAAGAGTGTGTGTTGTCGTTGTTTTTTGTTCCGGTTGGATTGGAGAAAAAATAAAACAGAGGAAGGTAGTTCCTCGGCGGAGTTTGCAAACCCCACTTGAGGTAGTGATCAGTAATTTTCCCCTGAATGGAAGAAAATTTCCTGTGTTTACATGAGTGAAATCCGCTGCTAGTCGGACGGAAAGTGATAGAAGAAGAAGATATACATTTCAGCTTTCGGCATTAGCAAGGAAGTGCTGGATCCAGCGAGGCTGGCAGGCAGAATGGCGGCGGACCTGACGAGGCCGCCCTTCAGCGAAATCAAGCGGCCCGAGGAAGTGGTGAAAATGTCGATGACGGACAATCTCAAGTTCGCCGTCCTGATCGGGCTGATCGAGGTCGGACAGGTCTCGAACCGGGAGGTGGTCAACACCGTGCTGCACCTGGTAAGTCATTCTAAAAGAAGAAAAAATCCACTCGGTCTGTGTTATCGCAGCATTTCATCACTAAAACACCACCGTCGTCGTCGTCGTCGTCGTGTCAAGTTAACTCTTGTGTTATCTTCTACCCACTTACCGCTCACCCCCCCGGGTTCTTCTTCGGGTTATTAATTGGAAGGAAAGCAATACACAGAAAACCACGGCAACAGCAGAAGCAGCAGCATGGGCAGGGACTGTGTGTGGAGTACCTGTTCGATATGGAGCCAGTGTTATCATTAGGGGCAAAACGACAAACACAGACACGCGAGCTCACTCATAATGTCAGTCGTCGTCTGCCGTTGATGGGCTCGGAAGAATGAAAGTATAGAATCCATCAAGCTGCTGCCAATCAGAATGGAAGCTCTAATTATTTCACCCCCCGCACTGAATGGGTCCACTTTGGAAATCATCGGCGGCTGCCATCCGAAATTACATAAGCCGAATTCCAGCGGATTGTCGTCGGCTCCAGCTGGAATTCCTCCGCTGGCAACACTTCTATTATCTAACAAGCCAGTAGTTGTCAAACGCAGAATAATTCCTTGTGGCAGACTCAATTGTTCAGCAAACAATGGAAACCTGCTCAGGAAAAATCATTCCCCATTCATCACAAGTCGCTGCTTCTTTGCTCTTAACAAAAAACGACGTCGACGACGTCGATTGATTTGGTTTGTTTTGCTGCTGCTGCTACTGCATCGTCATCATACACCGCTAGAGGCTCTTGTCGAGAATGTACGTGTGTTTTCTAATCAATATGTGACTCGCATGATATCGCCGACGTCGTCTTTGGCCGTCGTCGTCGTCGTCGCTCTGCAGTTATTTTCTGGTGCTGACCCCGAGGAGGTTTATTGCTGGTGGTGCCCGGCTCCACCATCATCATCATCATCAGCGTCAGCAGCGACAAAGGTGAAGGTTGATTTGGAAAAAAGGCCCCAAGAATGGAAGGAATTGCAAATTTTATGGAAGGGGTTACGTAAATTCGGCCGTGGATGGCGTGGTAGAATTGTTACTTGGAGTGGTCGAATTTTCATGGGCATTTGTGAAGATTGAATGATGTTTGGAAGTCACCTTCAAAAACTGGATCAGCGCATCGAGAAACTAGGGTACTGGAAGACATTTCGAAACTGATGTATTGGAGTTCGATTCTGCTGCAATCGTAACGTCGAAACGTTCCAGAGCATGGATTGGAGAGCTGAAGAATGAGCTAAAGTTTTCGACTCTAAGCCTTCCTCAAAGTACCAAGTCGATTCATAGTTGACATGGCTGGCTCTCGACACCGTTCGAGGGGTATGCCTATCTACTTTCATTTGGAACAGGTAGAAACCCGATTGGACCTGTGGTTGGCCAGCCCGGAATACCCGGAAAAGTCCTGAGCAAAATGTGTGTCGATTCAGGACTGGTTCTCGGCAATTTGGTCACCACATTTTTAGATTGAGCCACTATTTGAAAGGTATGACTATCCACTTTCGAACTGAACAGACAGAGAACCGATTGGGACTTGTAGATGGTCATTCGGAACAGGAAAATCCGTCCTCACCGGAAACATTGTCAATCCCTGAAATTACCTAGAGATCCGCGACTTTTTTCTGAATTGCATACAATCATAAGCAAAGAGGAAATATGCCATCATCACATCGATTCTCCTATCGAGTTGCCAGAAAACGGCCCTCTGAATATCCGGAATCTCCGGAAAAATTGTCAATTCCTGAAAGTATACCTAGAGATTCGCGATTTTTTGTAAATTGCATACAATCATGAGCAAAGAGGAAATATGCCATCACCATATCGATTCTCCTACCGAATGACCAGAAAACGGTCCTCTGGATATCCGGAACCACTCGAAAAATGATCAATTCCTGAAAGTCGACCTGGAGATCCGCGATTTTTTCTAAATTGCATACAATCATGAGCACAGAGGAAATATTTCATCATCATAACGATTTTGCTACCGCGTGGCTAGAAAACGGTCCTCTGGATATCCGGAATCACCGGAAAAATGGACAACCCCTGAAAGTAGACCTGGAGATCCGCGATTTTTTTCTAAATTGCATACAGTCATGAGCAAAGAGGAAATAAGCCATCACCATATCGATTCTCCTATCGAGTGGCCAGAAAACGGTCCTCTGGATATCCGGATCCAACCGAAAAATGGTCAATTCCTGAAGGTAGATCTAGAGATCCGCTATTTTTTCTAAAATGCATTAAATCATGAGCAAAGCAGAAATATTTCATCATCATACTGATTGTCATACAGAGTGGCCAGAAAACGGTCCTTTGAATATCCGGAATCACCGGAAAAATTGTCAATTCCTGAAAGTAGACCTAGAGATCCGCGATTTTTTTCTGAATTGGCCCTTTTGATGAGCAAAGAGGAAATATGCCATCACCATATCGATTCTGCTACCGAGTGGCCGGAAAACGGTACTCTCGATATCCGGAATCACCGGAAAAATGGTCAATTCCTGAAAGAAGACCTGGAGATCCACGATTTTTTTTTAAATTCAATACAATCATGAGAAAAAAAAAAGAAATATGCCATCATCATATCGACTCTCCTACCGAGTGGCCAGAAAACGGATATCCGGAATCACCGGAAAAATGGTCAATTCTTGAAAGTAGACCTAGAGATCCGCAATTTTTTTTGAATTGCATACAATCATGAGCACAGAGGAAATATGCCATTACCATATCGATTCTCCTACCGAGTGGCCAGTTAACGGTCCTCTGGATATCCGGAATCACCGGAAAAATGGACAACTCCTGAAAGTAGACCTGGATATTGGCGAATTTTTTTTAAATTGCATACAGTCATGAGCAAAGAGGAAATAAGCCATCACCATATCGATTCTCCTATCGAGTGGCCAGAAAACGGTCCTCTGGATATCCAGATCCAACCGAAAAATGGTCAATTCCTGAAAGTAGATCTAGAGATCCGCTATTTTTTTTCTAAAATGCATACAATCATGAGCAAAGCAGAAATAATTCATCATCATACTGATTGTCATACAGAGTGGCCAGAAAATGGTCCTCTGAATATCCGGAATCACCGGAAAAATGATCAATTCCTGATAGTAGATCTAGAGAACGCGATTTGTTTCTAAATTGCATACAATCATGAGCAAAGAAGAAAAATGCCATCATCATTTTGAATGACAACGGACCGATGCGTTGCATAGTAACCTAACAATCTAGATATTAAGATCGTGGTAGGCCTTGCCTCCTTCGAATTATGAATTGTTCTCTTTTACCCAAGCTACCGTTCAATAAAGACGCTATGGGCCCAGCACACTAAAAGGAAAATATGAAAAGTTTCGTTTCGTTTGTTCGCAGAAATGGGTGAAGAAAAGTTGTGGCTGTTCGATGGAACCAACTTCGGAAACTGGAAGTTCCGAGTTGAGGTTCTAATGGAGGACAAAGATTTGTTGGACTGTCTGGAGAAGTCCATCGAAGACGAGGAGTTCGCAACGGAGCTCCAAGCGGACACAGCGGCAGTCAAGGCGGAGAAGAAGAAAAACTCGAAGAACGCATGGCCAGAGACCGGAAGTGCAAAAATTAGCTCATCAACCGAATAGCAGAGTGCCAACTGGACTACGTGAAGCACAAACGGACGGCGAAGGAATCTTGAGAAGCTTTGTAGAACGCGTTCGAGCGGGTTGGTATCGCCGGGAAGCTGTACTTGAAGAAGCTGCGTCTAAAAGAAGGCGAAAACGTGAAGGCATTCCTGCTGCAGTTTGAGAAAGTGCTGCGTGAAATGAAGGCTGCCGGGGTGAGAACGGAGGACGATGATGTCGTTTGTCAGCTTTTGTTAGCGCTACCAAAGTCCTATGATGCGTTAATCACGGCTTTGAAAACTATCCAACCTGACCAGTTGACCGTGGAGTACGTCAAGAAGCGGCTGATGAACGAGTCTGCAAAACGTGCGAATCAAACGAGCCACGGTTTCTGGATTCGGGTGCAACAGACCATATTGTGGAGGACAAGCATTTATTCGAAGAACTACACCCGCTGACGAGGAAAGTTACCATTGCTGTGGCAAAGTCTGGCCAGGTTATTGTGGCAGAATCTGTTGGTACCGTGAGGATGGAAAGAAGCAACCGTCCGTGGTGAAAGATGTGCTCTACGTACGTCGGCTTGAGGACAACGGAATGACGGTGAAGATTGCTGGAGGAAAAGTGACCATTGAGAAGAATGATCGAACTGTGTGTGTGGGACGTCGAGCTGGTCAACTATATTCCCTTGATATTTGCCTTCATGGTGTTATGGAGTTGAGTGCGAGTGCGAGTGCTATGACGTTGAAGCACGAAGTTTTCGAGTTGTGGCATCGAAGGTACGGCCATGTAGGAGAAGCAAACATGAAGAACCTCTGGAAGCATGGGGTGATCGAAACAGCTACGATGATGCAGGACTGGCCTGATCGATGTCTTTGCGAAGTATGTTTAAAAGGTAAGCAGACGAGGCAGCCGTTTGAAGAAACGGTAGAGCGGCGTTCATCTCGGCCGTTGGAACTCATCCACTCCGACGTGTTGACCGTTTACTCCAACCACGTGGAACGGGAAACGTTTGTATGTCTCGTTTATGGATGATTATAGTCACTTCACGGCGGTCTATTTGCTGGCATCGAAAGACGAGGTTCAGGAGAAGTTCGAGCAGTACTGTGCAACGGATGGGTCTGGTGACAGCCATCAAATCCCAGATATCAAGGCGTTTCGAGATGGTGGACATGGGAGAACTGAAGCACTTCCTGGGTTTGAAGGTCGATCGAGGTTCGAGCGGAGGTGTTATGAAAATCAGCCAGCCAAAATACATTGGGGATCTTCTTCAGCGATTCGGTATAGCCGAATGTAAACCGGTGGCAAGCCCGTTGGAACCGAATCTGAAGCTTGCATGCCAACTCATTGGCTGCTTAACGTACCTGGTACTTGAGTCGCGACCAGAAATCAGTGCTGCTGTCAACTATTTAAGCAGCTTTC